CACTGCAAGTGTTTCGCAGAGGTCGAAAGCAATCTTCCAGAGTCCAGAGTCCTTCCTTTGTCAGCTACGGCAATGTGGCCGCGTCCCCTGGGGGGCCAGCAGCTGGTTAAATTGAGGCACAGATTCGTTGCGAGGCACATGGTTTGACCGACGCCTTTGCGAAGGGTACTTCGGCTACTAGGTTACTAGGGCCACTATCGGGTCGCTCACCTGAGCATGGTTTGTGAAGCGATTGCTGCAGCAGAGGTTCCTAAGCGCCCGTGCCACAGGTGCACACCTCTGCAGCGATGCAGCTGGATATCACGCTCACAGGACAAACTTTTCCAGCATGTTGCGTGTCACAGATAGTGTCAACGACGTGCGGTGACATAGTGTGACCCATGAGGAGCCTCGCTGTCCATGGTGTTCCTTTGATCAGTGTTGAAGGCTCTCGAGTTCAAGTTGCTGACAATGCTGGTGGGTCCAGCCACTCCAGAGCAGAGGCTTGCAGATGACAGTTTCGATCTGAAAACAGGTGCCCGACACCAGTGACAATGCCCGCGAGTTCCACATGCTGCCACAGCGCCTGACAGAGGAATGGCTTCTGGGCAAGGTGGCGATTCCGTTTTGCGCCCTTTGCTTCCATGCGTGCAGGATTACAAACTCTGCGTCAAGAAGGAGTTTGATCGAACCAAGGCCGTGCCGGCCGGTTGGAGAGTGGTAAAGAAGAGCACTTCAGTAGCGAGCGATGCTGTGGCAAAGAAGTGTTAGTCTGAGACGCAAAACAGAAGCCTTTGTCATCGAACCTCGCCTGATTCCAACATACCTATATTTTGCAGTCTCAAGTGTGGCGCAGTAGAAGCGAGAGTGGAGACGCGAACGTAAACACCAATTTCAAGAACGTGGGTCCTCTGCCGCTGAGTACATTCCACAGGAGGCAGGAGCCGAGGTGTGGAAGCTGGTGCTTTGGCTGCCCTAGCGATTGTGAGAATCCTGTTTGGTGTCGTGGAGTACGGTGTTCCATACGCGGACCCTTTTGTGATTGCGGTTCTGCAAGGTCCACAACAAGGTGTGCCGCCGCTTTGTCGGCGAGACGAGCTATCCAGTGGGTCGCTTGGAACCGCGTCCAGGGGCAACTTCCTAGGCCCCTTGCTGCGTGCTTTGCGTGCTTTGTGAATCTTTGTGAGGCCTGGCCGTGACCCGTGGCTTGGGCCATCGCCTAGGCCACACTGCGCAGGAGCCAGCTGAAGGGTTGTGGATGTGTCGGAATGGGAAATCTCAGACGGCTTGCTTCTTGTCGCGTCGGGGCCACCCACAAACCCAGCATTTGCAAGCTCGTACGTAAGGAGCTTCAGACGTAGCCTTGAATCCTGTGGGTAGCATCGAGTGGCAATGACGGCCGTCAATTGGGTGAAGAGGCACGTCCCGGTCCACACTTTGGGTTTTCTTTCGGCTCCCGCTCAACGTGCCAGGAACCTGGATGATCCTCAGCAAGCGGCGATGTCTCTGGCGCACGAGGCCATGAGCCGCTGGCGGAGCCGCTGGCAGGCCGGGACTCTGACAACACGGGCGTGAAGACCAATAAGACCCTCTTTGGAAGACCACAACCCCTCAAACGTCCTTACTTCGCTCCGCAGTACGAAATCCGGAATAAAACTCGCCATGCGGTAGTTTTTGTGATTCAAGCTGTTCAGGAGCCCGGCAGCTTGGCGAAAGGCAGGGCGGTTGCAGACGCTGATGTGCGCTGCGCCTTCGAAAATTGTTGGCCCTTGTCTGTACAGTCTCTACTCCGGAATGGCAGCTTGTGCATGGTAAGCTTTCGAGGGCTCTGTGTCCTCATGAGTTAATGCTGACCAGGCAACCTGAACGCCTGCATGCACGCGGCCAAGGCTAACAAGGAACGGTAGCTGGAGTCCTTCAAGGTGCCTCACAACAGTCCTTTGTTGAAGAGCAAGCTGCTTTCCTGCGGCAGCAGGACTCCACGATGGCAGATGTCTTGCCCACATTGGCAACTCGGCTGGCTCCCTGTGCGTGGCTGTTCTGCGGGCGCAAAGAAGCGAGGCCCACATGCCTTCGGACGTGCGTGCGACTGCGCCTCTTGGCTGTGACATTGGCATTCCTACTTTCAGACATCCCATGTTTCCGCTGTATGGCTTTCACGTTTGTCTTCAACTCTGGCTCCTGCATGGTTCCAGGTCGTGCGTCCTCGAGGCAACCATGCTGCCCATGCTGCCATTGATGACCTTGACGACCAGCAAAAAGCTGCGTTGCTTGAGGACGTTTCAGATGTGTGCGGTGGCTGACAGGATTTCCGCATGAACACGAAACCCAAAATTTAATTTCGTTGCTCCGTTACTCAGACAAGATTCAAGCTCATGGGTGAGCATTTTGGCTCGATGTGTGCTATGGAGGATATCCACATTCTTACCAAAAGAGAATCATTTTGACTCTTTCGAGGCTTTTGTAATCCTATCACATTCAAAAGTTTAACTTGCATTGGGGCCAGGGACCTCAGCAATTACACAGTTGCCTCATTGAACGTCATAGTAATTGAATCATGGCCTAGGCACCCTTTGTTGCAAGTTCTTCGGATTTTCTTCCATTTGAGATGCCATGTTCCGGGTCTGGCAGCGAAGCTTCTGCCTCAGTTCAGCGACATTGTTTGTGATTGTGTGCTTCCCTTTTCGGATTTTGATGCAAGACGGGAACCTTCCGATCCCGGTCAACATCTTACACGGTCCCAGCAACGCGGCAAGCAGGGCATCCACACTCTTGCACATGCAGCAGCCGGAGGCAATTCCGAAACGCGAAGTACTGATCTATACGCACGCCAAAGTCGGTTCTGTTTCCTTAACTATTGGTTTCAAAAATGCTGGAGTGGGTGCAGCTCATGCACATACACTTGAAGCTGCACGGCAATGGCTGGCAGGTAATTCCGTGCGCGGCATTTTTCAATCGCGCGACAGGTGGGCAGATGAGGAGCTGGCTCTATATGCCGGTGAAGAATGTTTCATCGTCACTGCTGTTCGCAGTGGTTTCGAGTTTTACCCTTCGGGGTACTTCCAGTCAATGTTCAACCATACCATCCCATGGGGGTATCGCCCGCATGGTCCGAAGACAAGATATCACGATTCTCCAAATGCATCGACGTCAGACTGGACGGTAGGAATCGTCCAACGTATGGGAGAGGAAAACATCACTGCACTGATAGCTGACTTCAAAGCACAACTCCCAATCGTGATTAGACACTGGATGAAAATCTGGTTCAGAGAGCACTTCTACCCAGCGACAGAAGTTGATGTCTTTCAACGGCACTTTGACTTCGAAAGCAAGCACATGTTTTTTGAAAGAGGCACCCGTCGGTGTTCTGTGCTGCTCTTGCGCCATGAAGACATCGACAATTGGGACGGCATCTTGCAGCAGTTTTTCCCAGGCTTCAGACTTCCCAGAGAGAACATTGGACGGCACAAATGGTACGCTTCGGTTTATGCCAGATTCAAGGAGGCCATGACCTATACGGAGGCAGAGGTGGAACAAATTTGCACCACTGACATCCAGAGACACTTTTACACCACACCGCAATGTGCAAAATCGGCCAGACATGACCTTCAGTCATGAGCGGTTTCTATGTAGTTTGCTGTCGCAAGTTTGGTGCAGCGTGCTTTCATGTGTGAGTGTCAGTTCGTACGCCATTGCATGTTTGATTCTTCAGAGCTGCCTGTCCTCATGTGAGCAGCGCGCTCAGCCGGCATGCACAGCTGCGCTCCGCAGGGTACCCTTCGGCTCTAGCTTTATCTATTCTAAGCGCAGCTACGGAAGTGTAATCTCATCCGCAGCCCTGTAGCGCGGAGCTGTGGCAGTGGCCACCAACTCGAGGCAGCGAACACGCCGCCGTGGAAAACAGTGGGCAAGCGCGTTGCGGTGATTGTCTTTGTGCCCTGAAACCCTCACCGTGCATCTTACGTGCCAGTCTCGCAACGAGACTGGTAGCGGAGCTTGCTCGGATGCCTGCCTGCAAAGCCTGTTTTGCATAATTTTTGCTTGGAGGGCCTTTCCTGGGGTTTTCCGCTC